GATATGGATAATATTATAAAAGATCTTTGAATGGGAGACTCTCCATGATATTCTGTAATACACATAGAATCAGTATATATTCTTTTGTACCTGACTTCTTTTACTTGACCTTACATCTGTGAGATTCTTCCATGCTATTTATTCAACAAATATTTTACATTAAAATTGTCCTTTTTCAATACAAAAATTAAAAAAATGATGAGAGAGAGAGAGAGAGAGAGAGAGAGAGAGAGAGAGAGAGATAGATTTGTTGTTCCACTTATTTATGCCTCTTATATGTGCTCTCACCAGGGATTGACCCACAACCTTGGTGTATTAGGACAATGCTCTATCCAACTGAGCTACCGGGCCAAGGCTCTGCATTATATTTCTGAGTTTGTGCCAAAGGCAGGACCTAAATCCTGGACTGTGCTGGGTTCTGTTCCTGCCACTGCCTTTCTCCCAAACACTGATATGTCTTCGCATTGTGGTTTAGAAGGTGGCTTCCTGAGTTAGGCTGTCATGGGTTCCATTCTGGGCCCTATGTCTTCCCGGCCAGGTAGCTTTGGGCTGGTCATTTAACCAATCAGAGCTTCAGTCTCCTCTTCTGTGGGTATTTTATAATCACAACCTTTAATGCGCCCTCACTTTGTGCTAGGCAGTGTGTTGAGCACTTCACAGGCCTTCTGACATTCAGTTATCACACATTATTATGAGATGTGTATACTACTAATATTCCCATTTTGTGTACTATATATGAATTTATGCTATGTATAATATGTGTTGTGAGGAGTAAACGGATATACAATGTTGAGTCAGTGGTTCACAGATGTATATGTGTAGCTGTGAATACAGCAGAGAAGAAAATGCAAAAAATCCTGTCCTCGGGGACCTTACATTCTGGGGGGAAGCCAGACAATAAACAAAATCAATAGTTAACGTATGAAGTGTATTAGGTAGCAATAACTGCTCTAGAGAAAACACCCGGGATGCAGAAGGAGGAGTATTTGGGGCAGGTTGTAAGTGTAGATAGGATTATTAGGGAGACCTCACTGAAAATACTCAGGAGGGAACAAACAGTACAGGTGTCGGGGGGGAGAACATTCTAGCCCAAAGGTTCTGCACATGCAAAGGCCCTGAGGTGAGAGTGTACCTGGCATGTTGGATGAACAGCAAGGCAAGTGCGGCTGAGCAGACAAGTGGAGACTGAGGGCTGAGGGGAAACTGGTGGTGCTGGGCAAGGCGGGCAGACTGTGCAGGGCCTGTGGGCCACTGCAAATGCTTTGGCTTTACTCCGAGTGGGTGAGACTCACTGCAGGGTCTGTTAGAAAGAGAAAAGAAGGGAGAGAGAGACATACTGATTTGTTGTTCCATTTATTTATGTATTCATTGGTTGGTACTTGTATGTGCCCTGACCTGGGTTTGAACCCACAACCTTGGTGTATTAGGACAATGCTCTATCCAACTGAGCTACCGGGCCAAGACTCTGCGTTATATTTTAACTAGAGGCCCGGTGCATGGAATTTGTGCACGGGTAGGGTCCCTAGGCTTGGCTGGTGATCAGGGCTGATTGGGGACTCTGGCTGCTGGCTGGGGTCTTCCTTTGTTCCACGCCACCCCCTGGTGGTCAGCGCATGTCATAGTGAGCGATTGAACTCCCGGTCGAACTCCTGAGGGGACACTTTGCATATTAGCCTTTTATATTTATATGGATAGCAGTCATTTGGCAGTCATAGGATAAGGGGTGGCTATAGGGAGGAGGCAACACAGTAGTCCAGGTGGGAGGTGAGTGAGGAGGAGAAGTCAGATTCTGGAGAAATTTCCCCCCAACTCTTCATTTAAAATTGTCAAACCCACAGAAAAGTTGAAAGAAAGAATGGTGTAGTCATTAGTTACATACCCATTACTACCTATTTCATCCATTATTAGCCTTCAATAAATTTGCTGTGTCTTTGCTTTCATATGTATGCGTGTATGTATGTATACACATTTTCCCCCCTGAACACTTTGAAAATAGGTTGTGGATGGATGTAACACTTTACTCCTAAATATTTCAGCCTGTATCTCTTAAGAACAAAAACATTCTATATAACAGTGTCAGTATCATACCTGAGAATTTTAATACTGATAACAATAATATTGATAACAATATTAATATGTAGCTTATATTCTGATTTCTCCAATTGCCCCCCAAAGCCCTTTTTTTACTCTTTATTATTATTTTTTAATTTAAATTCTTCATTGCTTAAAGTATTACATATGTCTCCTTTTTCCTCCATTGACTTCTCCCTGGCCGTTCCCACCCCCCTTTTAATTTAAATTCTTCATTGCTTAAAGTATTATATATGTCTCCCTTTTCCTCCATTGACTTCTCCCCGGCCGTTCCCACCCCCCAGCATAGGGTGGGCAAACTTTTTGACTCGAGGGCCACGATGGGTTCTTTAACTGGACCGGAGGGCCGGAACAAAAGCATGAATGGAGTGTTTGTGTAAACTAATATAAATTCAAAGTAAACATCATTACATAAAAGGGTACGGTCTTTTTTTTTTTTAGTTTTATTCATTTCAAACGGGCCGGATCCGGCCCGCGGGCCATAGTTTGCCCACGGCTGCCCCAGCACATGCCCTCACCCCCCTCCATGGGTTATGCTTATATGCAGTGTTTGTTATTATTTTTAATCTAGGATCTGCTTAGGATCAAGCACTGTATTTCATTATGTCTCTTTAGTAACCTTTAGTCTACAACAGGACTCTGCAGTCGGCCCACTGCCTGTCTTCATAAATAAAGTTTTATTAGAACACAGCCACACACATTTGTTTACATTTGGTCTGTAGCTGCAAAGGTGGGTTTGTATGGCCCACAAATCTAAAATATTTATTCGTTGACCTTTTACGGAAAATGTTTGCTGACCCAGCTCTATAACAGCATTCCTGTTCTTCCTTATTTTTCATAACATTGACATTTGGAAGAGTCCAAGAGTTCCATGGAATGTCCCCCAACCTCGAGTTTTCTGGTCATTCCCTCTGATTTGGTTTACACTGAGCATCTTTGGCAGGACGATCACAGGCATGACGGTGTGTCTTGAGGACTTCACCTCAGGGGGCTACTGATGTCTGTTCTTCCGTCATTTGTGATGGTAACTCGGAGCCTTGGTTAAGGGGGTGACCACTCCAAGAACCTTTCCTTTTCCCCTGACTACTGAATAACCAGTGGATTTGTTTGGAAGGTGGAGCCAGCAGGATTTCCTGTGGATTGGGTGTGACGTGCAGCCTGGAGGAGGGGCAGGTGGCACAGAAAGGCCCAGGAGCTCAGCCTGGGACAGGTTTAGCTAGAGATGCTATCAGATACTGCATTAGTGCACTGACTTCCATCTTTACTCTCTTTTCTTACGTTGTTTCTGTCTTCACATTGCTAATTGCCCATCGCTCTGGCCCCTTGATT